CCCTAAATGCATCCCTCCATAAATGCACGGTCTTGTCCATTCCCAAGGGGGGTGCACTTATGGAGGGTTGACTGTAATAAAAATTATTTATAGGGAGGTCTCTACCCTTAATGAATATTAATTACACTATTACCCAAGTAACACCTACAAAACCAAGGTAGCTGGTTTGAGGTTGGGCAACAAATAAGATAAATTAATTATTATATGTAAGGATTGAACTAGTATCTTCACCTAAACAACAATATAGTTAGTTAATTAAATAAATCACTTGGACAACATAAAGATTCCACATATTCACAATGACTGTTTAAAATTAAGCAAATAATAATTTTTATATTATATTATTATTAATAACATATTAATATTAAATACACGCATGCATAACCTGAGGTGTAACATTGAACAAGATAGAACAAAAAAATCTTTTTATAGATTTATTCTCAATAATTCAAGGAATAAGTTGACAAACAATGTCTTGGGCACAAATTTGTGCACTCTACCTATATATAAAAAATGAAAAAAAAAAATCAATATTTTAAAATATAATTGTAATTATATTTTTTATATTATATATATACCTCTTCACCATTAAATTGTTGTAGTGATGGTTGTGGTGATGGTTGCGATGATGATTGTAGTGATGGTGATGATGATTGTAGTGATGGTGATGATGATGGTGAGTCCTATAAATATAAGTAAATAAATAAATAAAATGTTTATGTCTACTACTAATGTTTCAGTTTATACTTACTCGGCGGCGGTGTTTCTTATATGGCGGTCCAACATTGTAATCCATTTGTTTTCTTATTCGGAGATTATACCTTCTCTGTAAGATTTCAAAAAAACATATAGGTTGACAAAAATAAAATAAAATGACATACTAATAAACAGGAATACTTTCATTTTCACATACGTTATGATTATCAAATAATAATGTTGATACATTTGGAGTAATATCGTTATTATTTATAATGTCATGATTATTAGATGCTAACGTTGATTCGTTTGGAATGTTGTTATTGTTATAATTATCAGATGATGCTAACGTTGATTTGTTTGGAATGTCGTTATTGTTATAATTATCAGATGATGATAATGTTGATACATTTGGAATGTCGTTATTGTTATAATTATCAGATGATGATAATGTTGATTCATTTAGAGTAATATCGTTATTATTTATAATGTCATGATTATTAGATGCTAACGTTGATTCGTTTGGAATGTTGTTATTGTTATAATTATCAGATGATGCTAACGTTGATTTGTTTGGAATGTCGTTATTGTTATAATTATCAGATGATGATAATGTTGATACATTTGGAATGTCGTTATTGTTATAATTATCAGATGATGATAATGTTGGTTCATTTAGAGTAATATCGTTATTATTTATAATGTCATGATTATTAGATGCTAACGTTGATTCATTTGGAATGTTGTTATTGTTATAATTATCAGATGATGCTAATGTTGATTCGTTTGGAATGTCGTTATTGTTATAATTATCAGATGATGATAATTTTGATTCATTTAGAGTAATATCGTTATTATTTATAATGTTATGATTATTAGATGCTAACGTTGATTTGTTTGGAATGTCGTTATTGTTATAATTATCAGATGATGCTAATGTTGATTCGTTTGGAATGTTGTTATTGTTATAATTATCAGATGATAAATGTAAATTCTACAAAAAAAGATACGTATTTGGAATATGTGTAAGAATGTATGAATGCAGTATTTATAAATGTATATATACAAAATAAATCAAGAATCTTACATATTCTAATAATTTATTTAGTATTTCCTTCAGCGAAATTTCAAGAGCTTTTATTAAAGTTTCCTCTATTTCAAAAAATTCTTTGGTTACTATTTCTTCCTCGAGTATGCCATGAGCAGCTCCTAATCCTAATACAATTTCTTTAGAATATAATCTTAAATTGAATCCGCTACCTCCTCTGCAATTTTAAAGACATTATTATTAGAAACTAGAGTGACAACAAGTGGCGATAACCACCATTCTTATGATAAACACTTACCCTTTATGTGCACCAAATTCGTCTTCTCTGCTCTTTCTTTTTTGCTTGTTAGCAACAGACATTATTTTTTTTTTTAAAGAAAAAAGTTATCTTGATCGACATGTACATGTTGTATGTGAAATTGAAATTATGTGAAATTGAAATATTATGGAGTGGGGTGAAATTCTGATTGGCTAATTTGA